TATACCTGTATTGTATGTATTCTACACGCTACTTCCTCCCATCTGACCTAGATTGCTAGATCCGGTGCCCTGTCATGCAGAACGCGTCATTGGCCTCGCGTGCACGTATGTCTGCACCTTGCTGCATGACGTGACGCGCGCTTTCTTTTCAAATGTCCGAGAAGATGAGACGAGTTTCACCACTAAGACGGCGAGCTTGATGGTAATAGAACAATTAATGTGATATTGGGGAGCACAGCGGGAAGGTGTGAGGGGATTGGGGGGGGGGGGGGATTATAAAACATCTGCCATTTATTATCTAACTAGGCCAGTACAAACTTCATATCTTTAAATCAGACAAGAGGAGATCATTTTTTTTAATGCCAAATATTGCCTAAAGGTATATGTATGTATGAAAGTGTGTATTTATGTGTTTGTATACATGCACGCTCAATTTTACTTATGTGCGTATGTATGTATGTACGATGTATGTATGTATGTATGTATGTATGTATGTATGTAATCATTCATGCATGTATTTTTGTAAGTATATACGAATGTGCTGCCGTGTATTCAGTTGTTTATATATATATATATATATATATATATATATATATATATATATATATATATATATATATATATATATATATATATATTCTCTAAAAGCTTGAATTTGGCCTACATTTCTAACTGACGCACTGTACTCTCGTGTACTACTGAATACAGTTTGAAGTCAAACTAAATGTTTTAAGCGGGAAATCGTGTCGTGAAAATTACGGTGGTAGGCGACCTGTAGGATTAGAGCGTACGGTAAAACTTGTTGGTTGTAATACATTGAGGTGTAGGATATCATGTTATACAACAACATCATATAGGACATCACGGTGTCTTGTTATACAACAATATGTTATAGGACGTCACGATGTCGAATATTACAGTATATAAAATATCACTGATTTGGAAATTACAAAACACTTCTGTTGAGGGGCATCCCTAAAATCATGGCAATATAGATCATCATATTACATTACAGTCATGTTACTGGAGATTACAATCATGTTACGAGACGTTACAGTCATGTTACTCGACATTACAATCATAACTTTACAGAATATTACTAATCGCTTTTAAAAACCTTACATAATAACTATAAGAATATCAACTTTTCACATAATCTGGTAATATAAGATAGAATTTAAAAAAAAAAAAACCTATAAAGTTTTAAATAGCGACAGAATCAGTAACATAAGCCTGGATAATATGAAAACTAAATCTTCTAAAAATGTCTTTTTGTTGCCAAATAACAGCTGGCGTACAGTAATCTAACAGACTAGTGGCTCGTGAAAAGAAATTCTATCTTAAGCAAACAATAAAAGAATGGAAAATATTTCAGTTGAAAAAACCTATGTAGACATTCTTATTTAAATACCTAGCACACGTGACCCCTACGTAATAGCGCCAGCTGTATTTAAATGAACGGCTCAAAATGCAAATGGGGCAGGTCGCGTGGTTGGAGAACGACGCCCATCGTATGGTCGCCTGCACGCGAATAGAATGTGCTGCAGCAAAAACGTGGCTAAGATTGGTAGGAGCTGTTGTTTGCTGGGGCCCACATTGGCGGGCTGCTACTGATAAGTCGGGCCCGTTACGGGTTGCGCGACCTGCCCGGGGGTGGGGGTAGGTGGGTACAAACATGGCAAATATACAATTTGGGGAAACAGGTGTATCCGTTGTTGCTGTTGCATTCCCTACAGGTAGATTTGTTTACGTGAGTCACAGGTAGATTTGTTTACCTGAGTCACAGGTAGATTTGTGTACCTGAGTCACAGGTAGATTTGTGTACCTGAGTCACGGGTAGATTTGTGTACCTGAGTCACGGGTAGATTTGTGTACCTGAGCCACAGGTAGATTTGTTTACCTGAGTCACAGGTAGATTTGTGTACCTGAGTCACAGGTAGATTTGTTTACCTGAGCCACAGGTAGATTTGTGTACCTGAGTCACAGGTAGATTTGTGTACCTGAAATACAGATCTCAACACAACCTGCACTGTCCACGCTTTCCAAAATTCGAAAATGTGAAAAAGATTCTCCTCTATGTTCTGAGACACGGAGAGTAACACAAACTAATAACAAGAAAATGCCGAGTTTTATTAACGAATTAAACATCAGATGAAAAAAAAACAATACCAATTTGAATGCCGAACTATAGAAAAAAAAAGAAATATAATAGCGCAAATAAGGAGAGATTGGACACACTTCGGGTAAACCAATGCTAATAAGTGTGTGCATGTGTTTCTATTTGCAGACCGTGTGAGAGACACATGTTTCTATTTGCAGACCGTGTGAGAGACACATGTTTGTATTTGCAGGCCGTGTGAGAGACACATGTTTGTATTTGCAGGCCGTGTGAGAGACACATGTTTGTAGACTTTCTATTTGCAGGCCGTGTGAGAGACACATGTTTGTATTTGCAGACCGTGTGAGAGACACATGTTTGTATTTGCAGGCCGTGTGAGAGACACATGTTTGTATTTGCAGGCCGTGTGAGAGACACATGTTTGTATTTGCAGGCCGTGTGAGAGACACATGTTTGTATTTGCAGGCCGTGTGAGAGACACATGTTTGTATTTGCAGGCCGTGTGAGAGACACATGTTTGTATTTGCAGGCCGTGTGAGAGACACATGTTTGTATTTGCAGGCCGTGTGAGAGATACATGTTTGTATTTGCAGGCCGTGTGAGAGACACAGGTTTGTATTTGCAGGTCGTATGAGAGACACATGTTTGTTTGCAGGCCGTGTGAGAGACACATGTTTGTATTTGCAGGCCGTGTGAGAGACACATGTTTGTAGACTTTCTATTTGCAGGCCGTGTGAGAGACACATGTTTGTATTTGTAGGCCGTGTGAGAGACACAGGTTTGTATTTGCAGGCCGTGTGAGAGACACATGTTTGTAGACTTTCTATTTGCAGGCCGTGTGAGAGACACATGTTTGTAGACTTTCTATTTGCAGGCCGTGTGAGAGACACATGTTTGTATTTGTAGGCCGTGTGAGAGACACAGGTTTGTATTTGCAGGCCGTGTGAGAGACACATGTTTGTAGACTTTCTATTTGCAGGCCGTGTGAGAGACACATGTTTGTATTTGTAGGCCGTGTGAGAGACACAGGTTTGTATTTACAGACCGTGTGAGAGACACATGTTTGTATTTGCAGGCCGTGTGAGAGACACATGTTTGTAGACTTTCTATTTGCAGGCCGTGTGAGAGACACATGTTTGTATTTGCAGGCCGTGTGAGAGACACATGTTTGTAGACTTTCTATTTGCAGGCCGTGTGAGAGACACATGTTTGTAGACTTTCTATTTGCAGGCCGTGTGAGAGACACATGTTTGTAGACTTTCTATTTGCAGGCCGTGTGAGAGACACATGTTTGCATTTGCAGGCCGTGTGAGAGACACATGTTTGTAGACTTTCTATTTGCAGGCCGTGTGAGAGACACATGTTTGTATTTGCAGACCGTGTGAGAGACACATGTTTGTATTTACAGGCCGTGTGAGAGACACATTTTTGTATTTGCAGGCCGTGTGAGAGACACATGTTTGTATTTGCAGACCGTGTGAGAGACACATGTTTGTATTTGTAGGCCGTGTGAGACACATATTTGTATTTGCAGGCCGTGTGAGAGACACATGTTTGTATTTGTAGGCCGTGTGAGAGACACATGTTTGTAGACTTTCTATTTGCAGGCCGTGTGAGAGACACATGTTTGTATTTGCAGGCCGTGTGAGAGACACATGTTTGTATTTGTAGGCCGTGTGAGAGACACATGTTTGTAGACTTTCTATTTGCAGGCCGTGTGAGAGACACATGTTTGTATTTGCAGGCCGTGTGAGAGACACATGTTTGTAGACTTTCTATTTGCAGGCCGTGTGAGAGACACATGTTTGTATTTGCAGACCGTGTGAGAGACACATGTTTGTATTTGCAGGCCGTGTGAGAGACACATGTTTGTATTTGCAGGCCGTGTGAGAGACACATGTTTGTATTTGCAGACCGTGTGAGAGACACATGTTTGTATTTGCAGGCCGTGTGAGAGACACATGTTTGTATTTGCAGACCGTGTGAGAGACACATGTTTGTATTTGCAGGCCGTGTGAGAGACACATGTTTGTATTTGCAGGCCGTGTGAGAGACACAGGTTTGTATTTGCAGGTCGTATGAGAGACACATGTTTGTATTTGCAGACCGTGTGAGAGACACATGTTTGTATTTGCAGGCCGTGTGAGAGACACATGTTTGTAGACTTTCTATTTGCAGGCCGTGTGAGAGACACATGTTTGTATTTGCAGGCCGTGTGAGAGACACATGTTTGTAGACTTTGGTTTGTATTTGCAGGCCGTGTGAGAGACACATGTTTGTATTTGCAGGCCGTGTGAGAGACACATGTTTGTATTTGCAGGCCGTGTGAGAGACACATGTTTGTATTTGCAGGCCGTGTGAGAGACACAGGTTTGTATTTGCAGGCCGTGTGAGAGACACATGTTTGTATTTGTAGGCCGTGTGAGAGACACACGTTTGTATTTGCAGGCCGTGTGAGAGACACATGTTTGTATTTGTAGGCCGTGTGAGAGACACATGTTTGTATTTGTAGGCCGTGTGAGAGACACATGTTTGTAGACTTTCTATTTGCAGGCCGTTTGAGAGACACATGTTTGTATTTGCAGGCCGTGTGAGAGACACATGTTTGTAGACTCAATATTTGCAGGCCGTGTGAGAGACACATGTTTGTATTTGCAGACCGTGTGAGAGACACATGTTTGTATTTGCAGGCCGTGTGAGAGACACATGTTTGTATTTGCAGGCCGTGTGAGAGACACATGTTTGTAGACGTGGCCGTGTGAGAGACACATGTTTGTATTTGCAGGCCGTGTGAGAGACACATGTTTGTATTTGCAGGCCGTGTGAGAGACACATGTTTGTATTTGCAGGCCGTGTGAGAGACACATGTTTGTATTTGCAGGCCGTGTGAGAGACACATGTTTGTAGACGTGGCCGTGTTCAACAGCCAGACCCTGACGCTACTACTGCAGGAGGAGCACGAGGAGGACACGGCTCTGCTGCTCCAGCTCCCACTAGCCCTGCTCCCGGCTGCACAGTTCACCCGTGCTCAACACATCCACTTCAATCCCGACATGCACGTGTAAGTATTCCTGTTTCCATGGCAACTTTAGTCTATGTTGGGAATGTTATCATCATCATTGCTTAGTGTCTTAACCTTTATTGGGGTCGTTGGGGCACCACAGCTGACCTTGTATGTCTCCGCCATCCATCTCGGACCTGCCGATCTGATGAGTTCTGAGACGGTCATCCGCGTCCAATCTTTGATGTCATCCAGTAACGCCCTTGCCTTCCCCTTCTTCTCCCTCTTGGCGCAATAATGTTTTGAATCGGCTGTTTGTTCGTGAGCCAACTTATTAGTGATCATTACCCTGACTTTATTAGTTATATGATCTCTGTATGAGATCCACAGGAGTCTGCAGCTCGCCTTCACTGCCTGCAATGGCATCTATATCATCAGCGAATCGTTGGTTAGTAGATAATCCATCCGATTGATCTTCCAAGACGTCAGTCCTGATCGTTTCTGGGTAGATATCGTAAAGGATGGGAGAGAGCCTTCACTGACGCCTATCGTTGTTCTAATCAATCCATCTATAGTGTTGTTGAAATCTACAACGCTGGTTGCTCTCCCGTTTAATTATTAAATAATATATGTGAGGTTTGCGCTGATGTTGATGTATGGTAGCCCATCTATCGAATGATTTCTGTAAATCTGTGACAACGTGATAAAGGTGTGGCTGGTGTTGTAGAGGGATCCCTGGAAAGATTTATACCTTTGATGTTCGTCAAGCTGCACCTAGAGGTGAACGACCTCACTCCTTCTGTCCTCTAAACACAAGCGCCATACCACAGCCACCCGCCTGAGCTAGCGGACCCACTGTGTGAGGGCTGATGTTAAACCGGCATCACTGGGTACATGGCCTTCCAGTCATTGGGTAAAGGAAAAAGTGTAGATAAACCTATGTATTCCCTGAAGAAAATATCGTAGTTAATAGTTGGGCAGTGTTAAAGTAACACCCTTACGTGACAAGACATATTGAGAAAAAAACTATTGTCTATCGAGTAGCACGCATCGATGTTGATTTAGCTCGCACTCGCTACTTACAGAGAATATATATATATATATATATATATATATATATATATATATATATATATATATATATATGGCCACATGAAAAAATGGCCACAAGGTGAGATGACCACAGATAAAGATGGCCATAGGTAAAGATGGCCACATGTAAATATGGCCACGGGTAAACTTGGCCACATGGTGCTAAAGAGCGGACCAGTCATCCAGCTGTTTTTGATTTGTAAAAATGTTCTGACCGTGGTCAATTTCTTCAAACTTCACATACCTAAAAATGTTAGAATTATTTTCTATGAAAGAAAATTAATGGTTTAAAAAATAAAAATTTGTGAAAACTGAAACTTTAATGAATTTTGATAATACGTCGACTCAGCTAGCCTGGGTGAATGGACGTGCAAGCAATGAATGTATTGAGGATTGTGTTTCTGGGCCAACACATGGCGTTGGGACAGGGACGAGGCACATGTCGCGTGAAGGCCATCGATCACGTGGGACATTGTCCAGTCACCAGTCAAGAGAAGATGGGCAGTGCCGCGGCCATAGGTCATAAGACATCTGGGATGTATCTGTTGTCCTTGGGCTGGCCAGAGGATCCTCCCTTGACCTCTACTCCCCTGGCCGGACAGTTGAGGTCAGGGGAGATGTCCCGCCTAGGTGACCCGGAGACAGCATTCATTCAGGGCTCTGGCCAGCTCTAATCAAAGGCAATGGCGTGAGTCACTCAATGGTAGTGGTCACAGGCTATAGTGGACACTGGTCACTTTGCCTGACCCAATTGTTCACCGGTTTCAAACATAGAGGATCCCCCGCTGTTGGAGACACAATGCGAAGATCCGGGTCCTTTTACCTTGGCCGGACATTAGTGTCGACCCCAACTGACCTCTCCGGCCGTGGGGACAAAACACCGGACCTTTATTTGGAGCATCTACTGACCAGTGGTCAGTTCAGGCCATTGTCAACAGGTCGCCATTAGCGGATATGCTTTGTGCATCCCGTGAAATGTTAAGAGCTTGTGAATGGGAAGATGGCCACTAGCTCTACAGGAAGATGGTCGTCTAGTCCTACAGGAAGATGGTTGTCTAGTCCTACAGGAAGATGGTTGTCTAGTCCTACAGGAAGATGGTTGTCTAGTCCTACAGGAAGATGGTTGTCTAGTCCTACATGAAGATGGCCACTAGCTCTACAGGAAGATGGTCGTCTAGTCCTACAGGAAGATGGTTGTCTAGTCCTACAGGAAGATGGTTGTCTAGTCCTACAGGAAGATGGTTGTCTAGTCCTACAGGAAGATGGTTGTCTAGTCCTACAGGAAGATGATCGTCTAGTCCTACAGGAAGATGGTCACTAGTCCTACAGGAAGATGGTTGTCTAGTCCTACAGGAAGATGGTTGTCTAGTCCTACAGGAAGATGGTTGTCTAGTCCTACAGGAAGATGGTTGTCTAGTCCTACAGGAAGATGGTTGTCTAGTCCTACTGGAATATGGTTGTCTAGTCCTACAGGAAGATGGTTGTCTGATCAGACAGGAAGATGGTTGTCTAGTCCTACATGAAGATGGTTGTCTAGTCCTACAGGAAGATGGTTGTCTAGTCCTACAGGAAGGCGGTTGTCTAGTCCAACAGGAGGATGGTTGTCTAGTCCTACAGGAAGATGGTTGTCTAGTCCTACAGGAAGATGGTCACTAGCTCTACAGGAAGATGGTTGTCTAGTCCTACAGGAAGATGGTTGTCTAGTCTTACAGGAAGATGTTTGTCTAGTTATACAGGAAGATGGTTGTCTAGTCCTACAGGAAGATGGTTGTCTAGTCCTACAGGAAGATGGTTGTCTAGTCCTACAGGAAGATGGTTGTCTAGTCCTACAGGAAGATCGTTGTCTAGTCCTACAGGAAGATGGTTGTCTAGTCCTACAGGAAAATGGTTGTCTAGTCCTACAGGAAGATGGTTGTCTAGTCCTACAGGAAGATGGTTGTCTAGTCCTACAGGAAGATGGTTGTCTAGTCCTACAGGAAGATGATCGTCTAGTCCTACAGGAAGATGGTCACTAGTCTTACAGGAAGATGGTTGTCTAGTCCTACAGGAAGATGGTTGTCTAGTCCTACAGGAAGATGGTTGTCTAGTCCTACAGGAAGATGGTTGTCTAGTCCTACTGGAATATGGTTGTCTTGTCCTACAGGAAGATGGTTGTCTGATCAGACAGGAAGATGGTTGTCTAGTCCTACATGAAGATGGTTGTCTAGTCCTACAGGAAGATGGTTGTCTAGTCCTACAGGAAGGCGGTTGTCTAGTCCTACAGGAGGATGGTTGTCTAGTCCTACAGGAAGATGGTTGTCTAGTCCTACAGGAAGATGGTTGTCTAGTCCTACGGGAATATGGTTGTCTAGTCCTACAGGAAGATGGTTGTCTATTCCTACAGAAAGATGGTTGTCTAGTCCTACAGGAAGATGGTCACTAGTCCTACAGGAAGATGGTTGTCTAGTCCTACAGGAAGATGGTTGTCTAGTCCTACAGGAAGATGGTCACTAGTCCTACAGGAAGATGGTCACTAGTCCCACAGGAAGATGGTTGTCTAGTCCTACAGGAAGATGGTTGTCTAGTCCTACAGGAAGATGGTTGTCTAGTCCTACAGGAAGATGGTTGTCTAGTCCTACTGGAATATGGTTGTCTAGTCCTACAGGAAGATGGTTGTCTGATCAGACAGGAAGATGGTTGTCTAGTCCTACATGAAGATGGTTGTCTAGTCCTACAGGAAGATGGTTGTCTAGTCCTACAGGAAGGCGGTTGTCTAGTCCAACAGGAAGATGGTTGTCTAGTCCTACAGGAGGATGGTTGTCTAGTCCTACAGGAAGATGGTTGTCTAGTCCTACAGAAAGATGGTTGTCTAGTCCTACAGGAATATGGTTGTCTAGTCCTACAGGAAGATGGTTGTCTATTCCTACAGAAAGATGGTTGTCTAGTCCTATATGAAGATGGTTGTCTAGTCCTACAGGAAGATGGTTGTCTAGTCCTACAGGAAAATGGTTGTCTAGTCCTACAGGAAGATGATCGTCTAGTCCTACAGGAAGATGGTTGTCTAGTCCTACAGGAAAATGGTTGTCTAGTCCTACAGGAAGATGATCGTCTAGTCCTACATGAAGATGATCGTCTAGTCCTACAGGAAGATGGTCGTCTAGTCCTACAGGAAGATGGTTGTCTAGTCCTACAGGAAAATGGTTGTCTAGTCCTACAGGAAGATGGTTGTCTAGTCCTACAGGAAGATGATCGTCTAGTCCTACAGGAAGATGGTTGTCTAGTCCTACAGGAAAATGGTTGTCTAGTCCTACAGGAAAATGGTTGTCTAGTCCTACAGGAAGATGGTTGTCTAGTCCTACAGGAAGATGATCGTCTAGTCCTACAGGAAGATGGTTGTCTAGTCCTACAGGAAAATGGTTGTCTAGTCCTACAGGAAAATGGTTGTCTAGTCCTACAGGAAGATGGTTGTCTAGTCCTACAGGAAGATGATCGTCTAGTCCTACAGGAAGATGATCGTCTTGTCCTACAGGAAGATGATCGTCTTGTCCTACAGGAATGCAAGCAGAATGTTGAACAGGATTTGATGACCCAGATAGTGAAAGGGCCAGAGTATCTTTCATCACATCCTGAACACATCTACCGCCTCCCCCACCCCCTCAGAGTGGGATGGAGGCCTACTCGTTCTACAAACACAATGGGAACTGTTTTCTGTCTTATTCACCCCTCACCCATCCCCCAGCTACACATGTGTATGTACATAATTGATGGGGACAAGAACCCACCTAGGAGAGAAAACCCCATAATCATCCATTAGTGGGGCGCCTCTGCTTTTCTTTCAATAGCTCCTGCAGCCGATGTAAGCACCTACATTTTGTTTAGCATTCCATTTGGATTATACCGGCAACGGTCGAGAGAGTGAGCACGATTTATGGACGGCTCACTATCTCTTCATCCAATCTCTCTCATGGCAAAATATTGCAATATTTTAAAACTAGATAAATGTCCCGTTGATATCAACCGATAGGTTGATAGTGTTGTCTTTTTCTCTAAAAGTCTAAACCAAAACAAAAATCACCACCTTAACCTCTTCCCCGAAGAGATGTCTGAAAGAAACTGCATGCAGACCACTTTTAAGATTCGACAAATAATTTAGGTGGTAATTTTAGTGTTGTTATTATCAAGTATGATGACGTCATAATTATTATTTATTGTTTTCTGCAGTAGATTTTTAATTCTATGTTTACTCTAGAATCAATGATGTCATTTTATTGTATGTATAACTTCTGCCTGTGTGGTTACCGTGAAGTACCAGATAATTTCTGCCTGTCTGGTTACCTTGAAGTATCAGATACTTTCTGCCTGTCTGGTTACCTTGAAGTATCCGATACTTTCGGCCTGTCTGGTTACCTTGAAGTATCAGATACTTTCTGCCTGTCTGGTTACCTTGAAGTATCAGATGATTTCTGCCTGTGGTTACCTTGAAGTATCAGATAATTTCGGCCTGTCTGGTTACCTTGAAGTATCAGGTACTTTCTGCCTGTCTGGTTACCTTGAAGTATCAGGTACTTTCTGCCTGTCTGGTTACCTTGAAGTATCAGGTACTTTCTGCCTGTCTGGTTACCTTGAAGTATCAGGTACTTTCTGCCTGTCTGGTTACCTTGAAGTATCAGGTACTTTCTGCCTGTCTGGTTACCTTGAAGTATCAGGTACTTTCTGCCTGTCTGGTTACCTTGAAGTATCAGGTACTTTCTGCCTGTCTGGTTACCTTGAAGTATCAGGTACTTTCTGCCTGTCTGGTTACCTTGAAGTATCAGGTACTTTCTGCCTGTCTGGTTACCTTGAAGTATCAGGTACTTTCTGCCTGTCTGGTTACCTTGAAGTATCCGATACTTTCTGCCTGTCTGGTTACCTTGAAGTACCACCTCTGATCACCAAAGCCCTCTGACGTGATCCTCCACACGAGAAAAAATGCCAGAGTTCAGAGCATCATGCAAATGTCATGTCAGACCAGATTGGTGTCTCGACAACTTCGCCAAACACCAACAACTCGCTTTTATCCCATTGCCAGCCATTGAGAGTTAATGCCCCTTATGTCCCCACCCTAATTCCTCCTAGTCACGCGCTGGGAGGCGGTAGTATCAAGAATATGTTGACTCTCATACAGACCCAGAGTTTCTTTCAGTTCCTGTCTACCGGTTGGAAGACGGTGCCACCCCCCCCCCCCCTTAGAAGGTCTACCGCCCCCCAACCCTCAAACAAAATAGAAATTATATATACAGTATATACTTCAACCAGTGTCCGCCTACCCCCCCCCCCTTGAAATTTTAGCCCACACCCGCGAAAGTTTATGTGCCCCCCCCCCCCTAAAAATATCTGAAAGAAACATTTTACAGACCTTCGTAATAATGTGGCGATTGTCATACAAAACCGTTTACAGACCATACATAAGCTGTTTCTCACCCAGACCCTGATATTTCTATCCCCAGAGAGACGGTGGATGTTGGACCGCTGCTGTCTAAAGCTGGCGTCAACTATCAAAGTAATGCGGTGGGTCACTCCATCGCTGTGGGAGGTCTCAGAACTACAGCTTCAATGGTAGGGAGGGAACCTTGTCTTGTCTGATTGTGTGTTTAACCCCGTGTTGTCTGTTTGTGAGTTTAACCCCGTGTTGTCTGTTTGTGTGTTTAACCTCGTGTTGTCTGTTTGTCTGTTTAACCCTGTCTTCCCCTTCTTGTCTGATTGTGCATTTAACCTCGTGTTGTCTGTTTGTGTGTTTAACCCCGTGTTGTCTGTTTGTGTGTTTAACCTCGTGTTGCCTGTTTGTGTGTTTAACCTCATGTTGTCTGTGTGTTTAACCTCGTGTTGTCTGTTTGTGTGTTTAACCCCGTCTTCTCCTTCTTGTCTGTGTGTTTGACCTCATGTTGTCTGATTGTGTGTTTAACCTCGTGTTGACTGATTGTGTGTTTAACCTCGTGTTGACTGATTGTGTGTTTAACCCCGTCTTCTCCTTCTTGTCTGTGTGTTTGACCTCATGTTGTCTGATTGTGTGTTTAACCTCGTGTTGACTGATTGTGTGTTTAACCTCGTGTTGACTGATTGTGTGTTTAACCCCGTCTTCTCCTTCTTGTCTGTGTGTTTGACCTCATGTTGTCTGATTGTGTGTTTAACCTCGTGTTGACTGATTGTGTGTTTAACCTCGTGTTGTCTGATTGTGTGTTTAACCTCATGTTGTCTGTGTGTTTAACCTCGTGTTGACTGATTGTGTGTTTAACCCCGTCTTCTCCTTCTTGTCTGTGTGTTTGACCTCATGTTGTCTGATTGTGTGTTTAACCTCGTGTTGTCTGATTGTGTGTTTAACCTCGTGTTGTCTGATTGTGTGTTTAACCTCGTGTTGTCTGATTGTGTGTTTAACCTCGTGTTGTCTGATTGTGTGTTTAACCTCGTGTTGTCTGATTGTGTGTTAACCTCGTGTTGTCTGATTGTGTGTTTAACCTCGTGTTGTCTGATTGTGTGTTTAACCTCGTGTTGTCTGATTGTGTGTTTAACCTCGTGTTGTCTGATTGTGTGTTTAACCTCGTGTTGTCTGATTGTGTGTTTAACCTCGTGTTGTCTGATTGTGTGTTTAACCTCGTGTTGTCTGATTGTGTGTTTAACCTCGTGTTGTCTGATTGTGTGTTTAACCTCGTGTTGTCTGATTGTGTGTTTAACCTCGTGTTGTCTGATTGTGTGTTTAACCTCGTGTTGTCTGATTGTGTGTTTAACCTCGTGTTGTCTGATTGTGTGTTTAACCTCGTGTTGTCTGATTGTGTGTTTAACCTCGTGTTGTCTGATTGTGTGTTTAACCTCGTGTTGTCTGATTGTGTGTTTAACCTCGTGTTGTCTGATTGTGTGTTAACCTCGTGTTGTCTGATTGTGTGTTTAACCTCGTGTTGTCTGATTGTGTGTTTAACCTCGTGTTGTCTGATTGTGTGTTTAACCTCGTGTTGTCTGATTGTGTGTTTAACCTCGTGTTGTCTGATTGTGTGTTTAACCTCGTGTTGTCTGATTGTGTGTTTAACCTCGTGTTGTCTGATTGTGTGTTGAGCAACAGAAACCTCACGAAGTCGATGTCGTGTAAACGCGTTTCTTTAAAAAGCCAAAAAAATTTAGGGAAAGGATGCAATGTGGAGATAATAAACGGGGATTTGGGTAGAAAACATGTAGGGATTTGGGAAAAGTCACATGGATTAGAAAAAAAAAACAGAAGTAGGGTGAAGACACATAAATTAGCATGTAGAAGACTCAGGGATTAGGTAAAGACACAGGGTTTTGGGAGAAGACTCAGGGATTAGTTAAAGACACAGGGTTTTGGGAGAAGACTCAGGGATTAGTTAAAGACACAGGGTTTTGGGAGAAGACTCATGGATTAGTTAAAGACACAGGGTTTTGGGAGAAGACTCATGGATTAGTTAAAGACACAGGGTTTTGGGAGAAGACTCAGGGATTAGTTAAAGACACAGGGTTTTGGGAGAAGACTCAGGGATTAGTTAAAGACACAGGGTTTTGGGAGAAGACTCAGGGATTAGTTAAAGACACAGGGTTTTGGGAGAAGACTCAGGGATTAGTTAAAGACACAGGGTTTTGGGAGAAGACTCAGGGATTAGTTAAAGACACAGGGTTTTGGGAGAAGACTCAGGGATTAGTTAAAGACACAGGGTTTTGGGAGAAGACTCAGGGATTAGTTAAAGACACAGGGTTTTGGGAGAAGACTCAGGGATTAGTTAAAGACACAGGGTTTTGGGAGAAGACTCAGGGATTAGTTAAAGACACAGGGTTTTGGGAGAAGACACAGGGATTAGGTAAAGACACAGGGAGAAGACTCAGGGATTAGGATGATGACATGTAGGGATGAGGGAGAAGCCACAGAGAGTAGAGAGAAGCCCCACACCTATACACTACCAGCTTCTCGTGACTGTATGTGCAACATTTGCCCACGGTTACCACACAAAATACGTTTGGGTTTGGCTGAACATTGTCCAAGGTAGAGGTTAATTAATTGTCCATTGGTTTTCTTCGTGAGTACTGTTTAAATTACACCGTAGCATGACGTATCTACGCTGACTAAGTCTAATTGCCTAATGAATGCACAACACGCCAACACACGTTTTGGTTTTAGTCACCAATTACATTAAGAATGATTTATTTTACGTTTCTAAAACTGAAATCATACGATTATAAAAGAACAACAAATAGCTAGTGTCTAATTCAGGGGTTCCCAACTCCGTGCCCGCGGGCGCCATGGCGCCCGCCGAACGATTCGTATGTGCCCGTCTCTCACTATTCGACAGAGACAGAATTTTTTTCATAAACATTATTGAAAGGTTGAAGGGGATGGAAATCGAAAGTTTGAGGGGGGGGGGGGGGTGCAAATCGAAAGTTTTGTATCCGGGTGACGGGGAGGGTCGCTACGCCTCTGGATAGAGTTTGTCGATTTAAGATAGTTGGTGCCCGCCACCCTACCGATATTTTAGAATGTGCTCTAGAGTAAAAAAAAAAAGGTTGGGAACCCCTGGTCTAATTGTACGTTAAAATAAGGGAGGTAACTGACTTGATCAGCTCCAAAAAAGTTGTTGACAACTTATTTCCCCTCTTTACACCAGCTGCTTCGGTCACAGAGGAGAATTCGTTTATTTTTACTGGATGATGGTGACGGGAACGATGATGAGGACGAGGAAGAAGAAGAGACGAAAGATGAGAGCACACAGCTAGACGACAGTGCCGCGGACAGCACAAAGGAAGATGTCGACGTGACAGGAGAAGATGATAACAAAGAGAATGATATGGCTGATTAGAGGGAGAGAATTGACATTGGCTGATTAGAGGGAGAGAATTGACATTAAATGTATTTTTTTTAATGGGAAAATCAGTTTCATTTGTTTTTGTGTTCCTAGAGTGTATTTAGTTGTTGTTTTTTCCAAATGTCACTTACTGCCAGCCTTTTGAGACGCTGTTTGTACTGTATGTATGTGGTACAAGAATTTTTTTACTCATGTGGGATGTGGGTCCAAAAATTCTTTACTGGTGTGGTACAAGAAATTCTTTACTGGTGGGTACAAGAATTTTTTTACTCATGTGGGATGTGGAACCAAAAGTTCTTTACTGGTGTGGTACAAGAAATTCTTTACTGATGTGGTACAAGAATTTCTTTACTGGTGTGGTACAAGAAATTCTTTACTGATGTGGTACAAGAAATTCTTTACTGGTGTGGTACAAGAAATTCTTTACTGTTGTGGTACAAGAAATTCTTTACTGATGTGGTACAAGAAATTCTTTACTGATGTGGTACAAGAAATTCTTTACTGGTGTGGTACAAGAAATTCTTTACTGATGTGGTACAAGAAATTCTTTACTGGTGTGGTACAAGAAATTCTTTACTGATGTGGTACAAGAAATTCTTTACTGGTGTAGGACAAGAAATTCTTTACTGATGTGGTACAAGAAATTCTTTACTGGTGTGGTACAAGAAATGTTTTACTGCGGTGGTGCGATGATCCTTAATTTATTATTTATTCAATATAAAAAAATGTATTTTGCAATTAGTATAGGGAAACCATTTAAATACACAAGTACTTAGTTTTCCACATTCACTACATTAACGCAGTGACTAAACACCTACAGTGATTATACTAAATAATGATAATGACTCAAAGATAATTCTTGCCTTTACAGAAGCAGATAAACAACTGTTCATCTATATAACCAAGTGTAGGTTTTACAACCAGCTTGAATGACGAAAAATTATGAAATACATCAATTCAGTTTGACACTAATTTAGATTACATAACATTTACATGCAAATGACAATTATTTTTGCAGTTTCATGTAGCCATCAATTCTACTTGAAGAATGCATGATACAACAAGCAGTAGTTTGCTGTAATAAATCATATGACTACAAACAACACCAAACACAATCAAACAAGTATGTACACCATTATTAACTTAGACATGAGTACATTTATGGATATTTGCCTATATAATGTAGAAATATCTCTGCTTCTATATTCATTCAAGTAGCTAAACTTTCTAGACACCAGAGAAAAAAAACATCTAACAAAGACAATTGGCACAAAATAACTTCTCTACCAGACAGAATACCCATCTAGCAGAACATGTGCACAGTTAAACAGATACAATTGTACAAAAGTTACTGAGAACTTGTAGTTACAAAATTTCTGTTCAATAAACACTTGACTGAAATAAAATTGCATAACACAACATTAACATTCTACTTTTGTGGTTATTGGGTTTTAAATTACTAAAGACTTGCTACCTATTAAAAAAACAATGAGTTGAAAAACTTGATAACCATGAAACTCCCACTAGCACTGTGCCGAGTACCCTGTGCTGTGCTGTGTACCCTGTGCTGTGCCGTGCCGAGTACCCTGTGCTGTGCCGAGTACCCGGTGCTGTGCTGTGCCGAGTACCCTGTGCTGTGCTGTGCCGAGTACCCGGTGCTGTGCTGTGCTGTGCCGAGTACCCTGTGCTGTGCTGTGCCGAGTACCCTGTGCTGTGCCGAGTACCCTGTGCTGTGCCGAGTACCCTGTGCTGTGCCGAGTACCCTGTGCTGTGCTGTGCCGAGTACCCTGTGCTGTGCCTGATTACCCTGTGCTGTGCTGTGCCGAGTACCCGGTGCTGTTACGAGTACCCGGTGCTGTGCCGAGTACCCGGTGCTGTGCCGAGTACCCGGTGCTGTGCCGAGTACCCGGTGCTGTGCCGAGTACCCGGTGCTGTGCTGTGCCGAGTACCCGGTGCTGTGCTGTGTACTGGTTAACCTGCACTGTGTACTGTATTGGGCAACTGCACTATATGTATTTTTAGTCTCGCTAAACTGCACTAAATTGCTAACCTGCAAATATCTGAACACCTTGAACCCCCTACAATATAATTCACCACTACGTTTAACTCTGCATTCTTTACTGCTACTGCCATGAAACATCTTCACTGAATAGTTTACTATCTCTCTATTACCCGCTACAATGCTTTAACCCTAATATTAGCACCATCCTTAATATTAAGTTACAATTAGGGATTTGAACCTCGACCACTGCGAAGTACTAGATCTAGCAAGCCAACACCCAGTCAACTCTGCTATCCCGCTACATGCCGATTATTAAAAATTTATCTTTATGAGTTACTATATTGGACGCAGAAACATTTTGCCTTTTTGTACAGCAGATACTTATTGAGTGAAACGCAAAAATATATGTATTAGAACTAAATATGTATGATTTAAAGCATAATAAAGAAGTAATTACTTTCTCCCACAATTTATAGCAGTTTAAAATTTAGTTATTTAGTTAATAGGCCATTTCATTCCATAAACAAGACAACATGTACTGTTTGGCTTTAAGTAAACATTGACATTCACATATCTGTTCATTTCATCTTCTGTCCCAAAGACTCTAACGTTTTCTGCTAACTACAATCGTTTAGAACAATCTACATATTCATTATGTAAAAAAAGGTAGGGTGATATATCATTTGGTCAGGTAAAATACAATATTAAATAAATTACTTTTATCTCCACACAGGTACGAACTTTTTATTCAATCATCCTACCAGTATCAACATGTGCATCAACATTCCTCCCATTATATTGCCCACATTATATTCAATATTAGCACATGTATCAACATTCCTGCTAGTATCATAACATGTATCAACATTATTTCTAGTATTAACACCAACATCAACAATGTGGATAAAATTGACACTTGTTACTGTCTTAGTTTTTGGGGCGCGGGTTTGTCCACACTAGATACCAGAGGCCCGTGTCACGAATACCTTCACTAAAATACTAAAATTTAACGAACGACCCATGTTTTTCTTTTTTGGTTATTTAAGACGTGGTGCATTTAAAGGAAATCGTTTATTTTCTCATTTTTAGTGCATAAGCACATACATGCTTGTTATTAAAACTTTTTAATGACTTTTTTTTCAGTTATTTTACAATACTTTCAAAAAGAATAGTATCTAGGGAAATTTTAACCCATATTTACTGAAAGAATACAATGGACTAAGAGTTAAACATATTCAAGCACCAACTTATGTATGACATCAATGACCCAATTTTAAAATTGAATGAACCCGACGTACACACCTAAGTGATTGGGTATAAATCAGAAGTAAAACCATCGACGGCAGTACTCAACACAGACTTGTCTGGGCCATGCTGGTACAGTACCAGAGTACCAGCTGAATGTTAAGGCAAGTCTATGTCCACCAGGAGATGATGATAAAACATATGTCAAGGCATGCTCTTCCAATATGTTCGCTTTAATTGTTTCGCGTAATTATAACACTGTTCTGTTAAAGGGAAATAATCATATAAATTTTCGATGTTCGTGCATCCAATTTAGGATCGGGTCTCTTTTAATAAAAATAATTTTTCGGTACACGAAATTAGTAAGGCTCGGCTAGTATACCAGGTATAATGTAGTAAAATTATTAAAAAAAATCATATCATGATTTTTTATCTTTACGTGAATAAATAAAAATAAAACCGCCTTATCTAAAACATTAACATAACAAATCATTAATCTATTTCCTTGTTACGAGTTTTAGCATAGTTGCTTCCCTTGTAGTTTAACAAGCCAATTTGAGGGACTGAAATTTTAAAGTACTAAGACCCACAGGCCACAAGTGTCACTAATATAAAAAATTAAATTTTAAGTTTTATTTTGATAAAATGTTTGTTTCAAATTAATTAAAAACACCCCCAACTTTTTTTTGGTCAAAGAAAGATAACTAAATATATTTTGCAAACCGTAGAAGGGATATAATTAAATAGTCTTAAAATCTTACCTCTACACGGTCTAAGGGAAGTAAAAAATTAAATTTACAAAATGTATTCTCTTATTAGCTACTGCCCTTGGTTACTTTTATTTGTAAATTGTTGTATAAAGATAAAAGAGGCCCTATTTTGAACCATATTGAAACCTAGCAATTTATTATCTTTAAAAAATTCTACAATAAAATTACCTAATAATGGCCGCCTTCAAAACCTATGACAAAACTTACCTGCTCCGTGACATTTTTAAAAATATCTAAAAATTTAATATCAGTACAGAACAATTACCAAAGCCTTGAAACAAACCTACCTACATGATATTGTTTAGAAATATAAAAAAAAATATTGTTTAGAAATCTTTATATAAAATAAAGTCTTCAAAATCCTTTACAGAGTGACATGCCCAGTACCAACACATCATTGACATGCCCAGTACCAACACATCATTGACATGCCCAGTACCAACACATCATTGACATGTCCAGTACCAACACATGCCCAGTACCAACACATCATTGACATGTCCAGTACCAACACATGCCCAGTACCAACACGTGCCCAGTACCAACACATCTTTGGCATGCCCAGTAGCAACACATCATTGACATGCCCAGTACCAACACATCATTGACATGCCCAGTACCAACACATGCCCAGTAGCAACACATCATTGACATGCCCAGTACCAACACATCATTGACATGCCCAGTACCAACACGTGCCCAGTACCAACACATCATTGACATGCCCAGTACCAACACATCCCTGACATGCCCAGTACATCACATCATTGACATGCCCAGTACCAACACGTGCCCAGTACCAACACATCATTGACATGCCCAGTACCAACACATCCCTGACATGCCCAGTACATCACATCATTGACATGCCCAGTACCAACACATCATTGACATGCCCACTACCAACACATGCCCAGTACCAACACATCTTTGGCATGCCCAGTACCAACACATCATTGACATGCCCAGTACCAACACATCATTGACATGCCCAGTACCAACACATGCCCAGTAGCAACACATCATTGACATGCCCAGTACCAACACATCATTGACATGCCCAGTACCAACACATCTTTGACATGCCCAGTATCAACACATCATTGACATGCCCAGTACCAACACATCATTGACATGCCCAGTACCAACACATGCCCAGTAGCAACACATCATTGACATGCCCAGTACCAACACATCATTGACATGCCCAGTACCAACACATCATTGACATGCCCAGTACCAACACATGCCCAGTACCAACACATCATTGACATGCCCAGTACCAACACATCATAGACATTCCCATTACCAACACATCATTGACATTCCCATTACCAACACATCATTGACATGCCCAGTACCAACACATCTTTGACATGCCCAGTATCAACACATCATTGACATGCCCAGTACCAACACATCATTGACATGCCCAGTACCAACACATGCCCAGTAGCAACACATCATTGACATGCCCAGTACCAACACATCATTGACATGTCCAGTACCAACACGTGCCCAGTACCAACACATCATTGACATGCCCAGTACCAACACGTGCCCAGTACCAACACATCATTGACATGCCCAGTACCAACACTTCCCTGACATGCCCAGTACATCACATCATTGACATGCCCAGTACCAACACGTGCCCAGTACCAACACATCATTGACATGCCCAGTACCAACACATCCCTGACATGCCCAGTACATCACATCATTGACATGCCCAGTACCAACACGTGCCCAGTACCAACACATCATTGACATGCCCAGTACCAACACGTGCCCAGTACCAACACATCATTGACATGCCCAGTACCAACACATGCCCAGTAGCAACACATCATTGACATGCCCAGTACCAACACGTGCCCAGTACCAACACATCATTGACATGCCCAGTACCAACACATCCCTGACATGCCCAGTACATCACATCATTGACATGCCCAGTACCAACACGTGCCCAGTACCAACACATCATTGACATGCCCAGTACCAACACATCCCTGACATGCCCAGTACATCACATCATTGACATGCCCAGTACCAACACATCATTGACATGCCCAGTACCAACACATCTTTGGCATGCCCAGTACCAACACATCATTGACATGCCCAGTACCAACACATCATTGACATGCCCAGTACCAACACATGCCCAGTAGCAACACATCATTGACATGCCCAGTACCAACACATGCCCAGTAGCAACACATCATTGACATGCCCAGTACCAACACATCATTGACATGCCCAGTACCAACACGTGCCCAGTACCAACGCATCATTGACATGCCCAGTACCAACACATCATTGACATGCCCAGTACCAACACATGCCCAGTAGCAACACATTATTGACATGCCCAGTACCAACACATGCCCAGTACCAACACATCATTGACATGCCCAGTACCAACACATGCCCAGTAGCAACACATCATTGACATGCCCAGTACCAACACATCATTGACATGTCCAGTACCAACACGTGCCCAGTAGCAACACATCTTTGACATGCCCAGGACCAACACATCCCTGACATGCCCAGTACCAACACATCATTGACATGCCCAGTACCAACACATCATTGACATGCCCAGTACCAACACGTGCCCAGTAGCAACACATCATTGACATGCCCAGTACCAACACGTGCCCAGTAGCAACACATCTTTGACATGCCCAGGACCAACACATCCCTGACATGCCCAGTACCAACACATCATTGACATGCCCAGTATCAACACATCATTGACATGCCCAGTAGCAACACATCATTGACATGCCCAGTACCAACACATGCCCAGTAGCAACACATCATTGACATGCCCAGTACCAACACATCATTGACATGCCCAGTACCAACACATCATTGACATGCCCAGTCCAACACATGCCCAGTACCAACACATCATTGACATGCCCAGTACCAACACATCATAGA